ATGGATGATATATGTATGTATTGATGGATGATGGATGGATGATGGATGGATGATATATGTATGGATGGATGATGGATGGATGGATGATATATGTATGGATGGATGATGGATGGATGATATATGTATGTATTGATGGATGATGGATGGATGATGGATGGATGATATATGTATGTATTGATGATGGATGGATGCTGTTCTCTGTTTAAACCAGTAAATCTCATCCAGTTAAGTTTGATTCGACTGGTTTGCTCCAGCCTCTGAATCCAGAATGAATCCAGACTCTGAGAGTCGGATGTGACGCGTCTGTTCTCCATGTTTGTAAAATCAGATGTAAGAGTGACTTAGAGTTTGGCCAACGAAGTACCAACCCCAACCATAACTCTCCCTCCACCGTGCCTTAAAGTTCTGTTCATGTTCTGCACCAAACCTGCCCAGTGTTTGGTCTGGAGTCAAACTTAGTGGGAACAAAGCGTCCGCCAGACGTCTGGAGGTTCTCGTAATGAGTTTGTAGTGACTCTGAGATGAATTAGACGTTTGGTTTTTCTGCAGCTCGCAGGCTGGTCTCACTGTGAGCGAGTGTTTTCTAACGTTAATGAGCTCGTCTGACGGTGGAACACCAGCCGTGAAGCTACGTGTTCCAGTTTAAACACATCATGTTCCAGCTCTGTTCCTACCGGCTGCTCGTCAGTCCCGTCAAAATAAAACTCTTTCTACAAACAGTTCATTCAAAGAGCCACGTTGACTGGTCAGAACCTAAAATCATCTTTTTAAACCCTGAATTCAACATAAACTCACTGGTTCCTTTTTCACAACTGCAGCATTTAAAACATCTAGTGATGATGTCATAGAACATGTCGACCCAGAGCAAAAATAAACGGGATCTTTGAATCCAGCAACGTTGACATTTGTCCAGTTGAGTGGGTCAACAAGCCAAAAATAAATGAACTTTACTCCTTATTTGTGTCCTTTAAAGGAAACATCAGACAATTTAACTTCAACTCTTGTTTTAGAAATATTCTCCTAAGTGGGGACATCCCGAGTACAACGTGCCAGGAGAACCAGATCAACCAGCAGGCTGCGACCTCGGCCTCTGCTGGAGAACCCTTGAGCCTTTACCGCCGACTGAAACCGTCCGGTTGGGTTGAACTGTGGAAGATTTGGTGGAACAAGAGCAGAACGAGCGTTGGAGCAAATGTTACCACACGCACACATGGTGGAGCAAAAACAGGAAACGGGGATTGTGGGTAATGTTCGTGCTGCCGACCGAGTAAACGCATCAGTCAACTGAAAAAAGAGGGATTAGCTTCTGGACTCGGTTTTGTCTGAGCCTCAATGTTCAGGCCGATGTCCTGAGCAGGAATAAATCCCTCTGAAGGTTTTCTCAAGACATTCCTCAGACGTGTGTCATCCCCACATCTGTGGGAAAATAAAAAAGCAGGCTTCCACAGTCACCAACAAACAGGCAGGAAGAGGATCCAGACGGCCGATCCTCGTCTGAACTTCACCTTCTCAGGGAACATCTACAGCGCTGACACGATTCAGGATCAAGGAGCTAATCTTTAGCGTGCATCTGTGCAGAAAAGCTGTTCCATGTTTTTGTTTATTCAGATGCTCGTGGGAAACGCAGGGAACCTTTCGGCTAGTTTTAGCTCGGTTTAGGTCTGCAGGAGCTCTGATGAGAACCATTCGGCTTCTCTGACGCCGCTGTAAACACACAGCTAAATCTGTGGCTCGCTCCGGACTCTGGATGAGCCAGCTGCGTGTGAGCTTCATGAAAAAACACGACGCCTGTGATAAACAAACAAGAGCTAAAGATAAGCTGAAAGGGAAAATGCACAGAAATATAATTTGCTCGTCAAACCTAAAGAAAGATGTTTTATTTTGAGCAGACCGATCAGAGGAGACCATTTTTATTTTTCTTCTTCTTTCGGCTGCTTTCTTCCACAGTGAACTAACTCACACGAACACTTGACAATTATTTTTACACCAGACGTTCTTCCTGACACAACCACAGACACCGAGCTACCACAGCCTGTGTGTGGAGCAGAGCTGCTATCTAGAGCACCCAGGGGAGCACATGGTGGGGGTTAAGGGCCTTGCTCAAGGGCCCAGAGTAGGGCAAATGAGGGTGGAGGCAGGTGTGGGTGTTTCACCTTTTCACCCACATTTCAATGTTGTCGGTCCAGAGAGTTGAACCGGTGACCTTCTGATCACAGGCCCACCTTCTCTAACCTCTTCACCACCACTCACCCCTTCAGTATTCTTTGTACTCAAGTTGTAAATATTGTTATTTATTTTTTCTTCTAAGGGAACACAAACGTTCCTCTTCAGCAATTAAAGTGTTTCTCTTTAGCTGTTTAGCTTTTAGCTGCTAAAGAATAAAACTGGCAAAACAAAAATGTACAGTTGTAAAACCCGATTTTAAAAGAAGGGTTCAAATTTAGGCGGTTCTGTGGACAGATTATGAACAACTAACATCTTACCTGTCGTAGCGAGGCCTTTGAATGACTTTATTAAAAGACTTTAAATGTGATGGGGCTGATCGGAGTGAGAGCGAAGTAAACTATCTCTAAACTTTTACAGCTGTTTACACAAAATCTGTGTGATAAATGTTTGTTTTGCTGTCAGATTCGTGTTATTTGGTTAATTCAGCAGAAAATCCGATATTCTATTTTCTTTATGTCAGCTATGATACTGAATATATTAAAGCACTTAAAATGTATGACACAAAACATGTTACTGATCACTTTTCTCTGTCTTCATATTGTTTGAAAATGTGACACCAGGGCTTTAAGTTTTTATTTATTGGGAACTAAGGCAGCCACCTGTTATTATCCACCTGACAAGGGTTTCTTAACTTTACATCTTACTCTTCCGTCAACTTTAATGCATCCTGAACCGCAACGTATACCCCCACAAATATTATATCCAAACGACCGGTTCGGCATCGTGATGTGTGCTATTAGTTTAATTGGCATTTCGAGTTACCATGGCGATGTAATTTGCAAATAAAGACGCCATTTTAATTAGTCATTTTTCATAGACTGGTTGCAAATCAAATATCCAAGATGGCCACCTGAGCTAAAAAGGAAGAACACTGTAAATCAGCCATTTGTAGAGATATTAAGCTGAAATTTGTTGTGGTAGAAGCTGAGAGCAATGCACAATAAATAATGAAGTTTTAAAAATTCAAGATGGCCACCAAAACCCAATTTAACTGGCTTTAACTCAGCTATTTTTACACGCAGAGATGAAATTTGGTGAGGCTGTAGCTCAGAACCTTCCCCATCACATACCGAATCCAAGTCAAAAATCCAAGATGGCCACCAAAGCTTTTAAAAAAGACTTCAACTCATTGAGATTTTGCCATTTTAAGCTGAAATTTGGTATAGTGGTAGCTGAGAGTGAACCACAACACATACTGTCAAATCAAAATTTAAAATGGCCGCCACGTGGCAGCCCCCATCAAAGTTTCTGCAGGATCTTTCTAGTTTATTTAAAGCGATCTGGTCGACGTAGCATTTACTGTAGGTTAGAGCGAGTGCCAGTCTTGGCCGCAGTTTGCTGCACACATTTCCCTGCTTTGGGCTATAAACTTGTGTCCATTGCTTCCAATGTTTATGGGGCCTCAGCTCTTGCAAAAACAGCAGAACTGTATAGAAATGACTGCGCTGTGGGCGGTAGACGGGGATGTTTGCATGAATAGCTGTAACATTTAAAATTCTTGTTGTCATGTTTGCAGCAGTCTGCTTTGGTCTTGATCCTGCTCTGACCAGCACCAGCTCAAAAAAACAAAACAAACAAAAAAACTGGTCACTCAAAGAGCTATCTATAACAGGTAAGATATTGATTGCTAAAACAATAGTTGATAACACTACCTTTTGAAGCATCGTGGTTCTGAAGTCCCAGCTTGTTTTCTGCCACACTGGTAGAATGACGGTGGCGTCCACCAAAGTTCTTCTTCTTCCGACTCCCCCTCAGCCAGCTCAGAGCCTGTCCCAGAGAGCTTCCCGACTTCCTCTGCCCACGCTGAGCCCTCACCTCCCTGGCTAAGATCTCAGTGATGTCGCTGGGCACCAGGTCCCCTGTAGACCTCCTCCGGGACATCCTGAGGTCGGTCCCAGAAGCTGAAGGCTCAGCACCTCCTCTCAGATCAGAGCTCCTCTTTGTTGAAACAAATCCGTGGGTCTGAAGCGACCCCTCGCTCTGCAGGGTTTGAAGAACGCCCCCGTCTCTTTGGCCTCGCTCTGTTTTCACTGACTGTCACCACCTGGGACAACAGTGGGATCAGCAGGATGGGAGGAAGAGGCTGGAAATGGAAGCCAAAGGGAGGAGAAGGGGAACGATAATTCATGGAAACATTAGATTTTACATGCGTGTGGAGAAGAGATGACACTAAGAGCAGACAGCAGCCAGGCCGTGAACACAAAGCTACACAAGAGCTACACTTTCTAGTTAAGTGAGTCCAGTTTTTCCTCTTCCTTTGCTTTGTGTTCATGCTGTGGCTCCAGAAAGACTTTCTGAGCGTGTGTCTCTCTGTGTGTGAGCCATGTGGTTCAAATCAGCCGAAATTAGAGCCTGAAAAGCAGCTCAGTAAACTAAAACACATAAACAGAGTTAGAGCTGATTCAACCGCCCTCCGGTTATAAACAAAGATCTCCAGCGAACACGAGAGTAAACTTACACAGCGAGTCCACTCTGCTGCTGCTCCCCTCTTTTCTTTCAGCATGAGACAAGCTTTGCAGGACATATGTGTGTGTGTGTGTGTGTGTGTGTGAAGCTCCATGCTCTCTGAACAGCCCGTCCCTCCCTCTGCCTGAGGACCAGCCTCTCCTCTCGTCTTACGCTGCCGTTTCGCCCCACAGCCTCAGACCTGCTGCTTCTCTCCACATTCCAACCAGTGAAGGTGTTTTTTCTGGGTTTTTAGCTGCAGTGCAGATATTTCAGGTGCTGAGAGGTTTCTCCCTCTGCAGTTCAGAGCTGTGTTTTGTGTTGCCACCTCTTCAGAGGTCACTTACAGTCATCCTAAAACATGGCAGCTCAGGGACAAACAATCCACAGTTTGACTTGGTTTAACAAGAGGACGTGGTCAGAGGTTAAAACAAAGGCCTGACGTGGCAACACAGGGGAAGGTAAAAGGGAGGAGCGAGACATCTGACAGGTATTCAACACTACGAATCTGTTGGAGTGGTGACCAGAGAGAGCCTTATACTGGGCGTGACTGGAAAGTGGCAGCTCCTGTGATTACTAATTGCAAACGGGTGTAAGTGGCAATCTGAAGAAGTGAGGAGGCTGACGGAGCGCGCAAATAAGAAACGGTAAAGAAACACAGGGAGCTGAATCCAAACACAAGGGGCGCAAAAATAAAACACAAGCCACACGGAGAAAATCAAAGAACTAAAATAATTAAAATACAGACCGTTCCATCTGTACGTGGTTTAACTGTTGGAGACATGCCATTTCAAGATGGCTGCCAGTCACAGTTAATTAAGTTTAGCAAACACAAAACTGTCTTTATCTCAGTGAGTGTTTCAGATTCTGAGCTAAAGTTTGGTGTGGTAGTAGTTGAGCATCACAGCTTATCACTTGAGATAAGGCTGTGACTCTGTCCTTAGTTTAAACCTCTAACCTGAAGGGAGCCGTGATTCTGTCAAACAATCCTGTTTGTTGTAGAATCAAGGTGTTCAGATGAAAGTTTAGGCCACAGATTTGTATTATTATTTTTTTTTAATCAGTCTTTTTATAGATTTTTTTTTTATTATGAACACAAAGAACAAAAGAACCCTCCCACACCGGATCAGTCACACACAAATAAACTAAACAAGTTTTCCACATACATCATTAAGGGCTGCCAAGTGTCCCAAAATCTTTGAACAGAACCCTTCAGGGCAGGGCTTCATTTGTAACCATTGATGCCAGAACACAAATAGTAGGCGGGACGTTTGGGGGGGGGGGTCCTCCCCCAGAAAATGTTGAATA